TCTAGATCCGCAACCGCAAATTACAGTTTGGTATCTAAACTTAATAGTTTTTAATATTTAGTGACAAATAATTTTTTTTTACATATATGTGCTAGACATATTGATAAAAATTTATATTTTTGTACGCAAAAAATTTTCTTACATTTTGATACCTGAAATTTTTAAAATTTACACATAGGTCCTATCTCATGACTTATGAGGTTTATGGTATGCTTTAAGAAACTTGTGGTCTATTTATGAGGTTGCTGGTACACTTCCAAAAAGTTGTGATTTTTTTTAAAAAAAAATTGAGGTGTATTTTATGAGGTTTCTAGTATGCATAGTAGTCAAAAATCCTATTCAAATCCTAAAACCCTACGATTTTACAATTTTACTTACCTTTTCTGATCCTGATTTCACTTCAAAATCTATAGACCTTAAAGTCCTACACTATTCACAATTTAACTCCTTAAAATCTTACAATTTTACAATTAATATATTTGGGTCAATTTTACTTATTTTCTTAAGAATTTGAAAAATTGCGTCTCTTTTTCTTTTCCTTTTCCTTCTCCGTCACCAACATCATCTAGTCCTCTCATTATAACTACCATCGACCATCATCAATTCACATCAACGTATTAATCATCATCGATTCATCACTTTCTAATATTAACTTTGATAAATTGGAACATTAACCTTAAGAAATTATCATTGTAAGTGTTATGTGTTTTTGTGTTATTCATGAGTTTTCTTATTAATGTTATTCCATTTTAGTTTTTATATGGACCTTAAAATTCTATAATTTTAAAATTCCAATTTTACCACCATTTTTCAATTTTACATAAAATCTCGATTTTGACTGCTATGTTGGTATGCTTTGAGGGGACTTGTGGTATGCTTCAAGAACTAGTGGTCTTATTTTTAGGCTTCGCCTTATATGTGAAAACCTCTTGAACTTCCCAAACATGATTCATTAATCCTCTGTAATCTTCCAAGCTTTAAGCCAAAATTTTTTGGTTGAGACAACATCTCATTAACTGCACCCCTCTTATGGATGCTAAGCTCTCCACTCGAACAAAGTGTAAATAGAAGAATGTAGGGAATTTTCGCAGTGTTTCTACAACTGAGGGCTAACTCTCTATTTATGCTAGTTATATGAAGGAGTATTTATAGTCTTTTCCCTTCAAAAGTCGGCCAAAACCTTCATTGTACGACTGAGACACAGATTGTGACTTGGGAACAAAGTAGGAGCCTTCTAGAAGTTTTGAGGATTTGGACCCTTAGTGGCGGCCCAGTGGCAGCACCCATCGCTGCCAATTTTACTTCTTGGGTTACTTGGCCCACAAGCAACCTCTCATGACGATTTGGGCTCCGGCTTCAAGCTTTGGACTAGCGATGGTTGGACCCGTCTTTTTTCTCGAAAAAATCCTTATGCAAGGGAAATACCTAACACCATCCTGACAATCAATTCTTTTTGAAAGATCAGCCCTATGAGATCCAACGTCTGTCCTTCTTAATATTGGGCTGAGTTTTCTTTTAGTCGACTTCACTTGGGCTCTAGTTGAAACTTCTAGAAGTGTTCACCTTCTTTAGGCTCCATCTTATAGGTGAAAAACTTCTTGAACTTTCCAAGTATGCTACATTGATTCTCCATAATTTTCCAAAGTTTTGATCCAAAATATGAAATGTTGTATTTTTCCTTGGAAAGTACAGAAACATACCAAAAAGGCATAAAAAGATAGCAAGATACGATCTAGGTATAATAAAAGCTCATTTATGAAATAGTTATGATATTCATACAAGATTAAGTAAAAATACCTAAAGATGCATTGATAGAAGTGGAATATGTATCAAATATGAGAGTCATAAACACTATAAATATAGTGTTATCAATGGGTCGAATCAAACGTAATCAAATGATTGTGCTTACTAAGATTCGAGATGTAGACACCTACTGCCATAACCAATGGGTTCACCTACATTGTTGGATCAAGATTTTGAGTAACACAATAAGAATGAGACGACCAGTCATGCTGCATGGTAGAGTATATCGGTTATTGACCCCCAACTTGCACCCACCCTACCGCAATCGACAGAGATTCCCGTAGATGTCCCCGATTCAGAGACCAAGACTTGTTCACCCACTTCGCGGGTCAAGTAAGTTCTTTCTCCTTTTTGCCATGCATAAACTGAACCAACAATTAGGATAAGCACAAAAATTAAAGCTTATCCCATAGTTAATTTCCTCACTTTCCTTTTTTTTTCCTTTTCTCTGCGTTCTCTCTAGAACTTACCCATCCAGACAATTAAGGGTCTGCCGCCGGTGTCCCAATGACGAGCGGTAGAAACCCTCTGCCCTTTTCAAGCTTTGTTTTTTTCGTGCATTTCATGCTTTCCTTCTTCTCCTTCCTTTCTTTTGGTTCTTGATGCTCTAAAACACAACACCTAACAAAGGCCAAGTGTAACCAATGAAAGGGACTGCAGTAAAGTGGCTCAAGTGATAAATATCGAATCCACGGGTCTCTAGAGTTACTATTACTCAGCTTCAGTTTATTATTTAGCAAATCAGATTAAGATGAAAGAACTAAAACTACTCTAGCAAACTACAGTTAAAGCTAATCTAATTATAGGTTGGGAACTCACTTAGGTATGATTCCCCCTAGCCACTAGCCAGATTAATGATTGATGATCTCTAACCTGTTTCACTTTCATTCACAATGCGGAGAATCCTTGACTAGACCTTGAGTCTCGACTAAAGGAACAAGGCCCTCTTGAGTCAATTGCCTAGAGGGACGTATCCTTCTCTAGAAAAACTGATCAAGGCGTTCTGAACTAGACTCCCTCTATCGAAAGAGGTTCTCAATCGATACAAAGCAGTGAATCAACCCTTGACTAAAGCAATCGATCCACTACTATCAATCTATGGTGCTCTATTGACCTAATCAGGTATTCCCTCTCATAGGATCAAAGCAGAATCAATAATCTCGACTAAAGCAGAATTGAATCATGAAAACATGCATAGATTGAATATGAACTCAAGATTATCAAGTCAGAGTACTCATACAATCATCCAATCAAACAAACATAGCTAGGGTTCCTCAAAACCTAAGTGAAGGGAAGTTACTCCATAGAGAAGAGAGAGACTGCAGTAAGAATCTTCAGATGATCAGTCTTCAAGTCTGGGCTTGTTCCTCAAGCTTCCAAGGCGAAGAAATCCTCCTTCTCTACTCCAAGAATGCCCTCAAATCGCCCTCTCTCTCTTTGGTTCGTCCCTTGGGTGTTTGGGATCCAAAAACCTAGCTCCCCTCCTCTTTGGTTCGGAATTTGGCTTAAAACCAGGAAATCCCGACTCACACGGGCAGGGCCACACGGCCGTGTGGCCTACCCAGTTGCCCGTGTGAGGCAAAACGCACCGTATCACTTAGTCGAATTCCAGGCTTCTCACACGGCCAGAGTGGCACGGCCGTGTGTGACTTCCATCTGCCCGTGTTTGCTCTCGGCAAAACTCGCACGGCCAAGCCACTCCTTCACACGGCCGTGTGTGTTGTCAGGGCAGGCCGTGTTTGCTCTCGCACAATCTCACACGGCCAGAAATATGAGTTGCACGGCCGTGTGATTTGTGGGTGTGCCCGTGTGGCCTCCTTTGTGACTTGCCTCGCGCCCGATCTTCGCCCAATCGACCCCGAGCTCGCTCCTAAACCTTCATTCACTTGCCAGGACCTGAAATATCACAAACAAGCACAACCTAGCGTGAAATCGGTCTAAAACACGAGAAACCACATCTCAAACGGTGTAAGAACTGGGGTAAAAACATGTGTAATTAACGGTCTATCAAACTCCCCCACAGTTAACCGTTTGCTTGTCCCCAAGCAAACCTAACTCAAACCAATGCAGCTCTCCAGACCTCTATAGCAACAAACAACCCAGATCGTAGGTAGAGGACTTCCTAGATCATTTAGCAACTTACGAGGTCAACCAACGCACAAGTCATCTCATAGCTTCTTCGGCGAGAGCACTAGTATCGAGTCGGCATCATGGCAAATAGTGAACAGAGGACAAATGAATTGTGGATGAAGAGATTCTCAAAAACAAAAGATCATGGACTCACATTTTTCAAGGTGCTCTCTTTTTTTTCTTCTTGAAGATGGTTGGAACCCCTTTTCTTTCTGTTTTGCTTGTTTTCTGTTATTTTTTTCTTTTCTTTTTTTTTTCCAAGGGTCCCAACCTGCTCTTACCGGCCATGCCAGGAGCGGATGTCTCGAGCCTCGTGCGGGGGAAAGACATGTAAGGGGGCTGGAGGTAGTAGGTGGAAATTGGGAACGGATTCCCGTCTCCCCTTACACACTTTCGCCCTATTCGCACGGGAGACGTTATTTTGAAGCACATTTTCGAGCACCTGTTAAACTTAAAACATGATACAAGAGTCCATGACAGGCAGAGAATCCACAACACCACACAATTCAAGGGTCCTAAGATTACTAATTCACTCAATCAACCAACACAATATGAAGAAGAAATGAGATTTCCTAAATGCATCAACATCCTCCATAGTGCTACACCACCTCCCTAGGTTGCATATTACTATAGAGACTGTCAATTCAAAGCATACTGAGCAGGCAATTGCAAGGAACACGTACTTGGAGCCCTCAAATTTAAAAATTTGGACAGTGGACTAGGCTCCAAGCACACAAACAGCCAAACATTCACCCGCATACATAATCGAACATCCCCCCACACTTAAGCACGACATTCTCCTCAATGGAGGAAAGATATGGAGGGTAGAACGAAGTTACCAGATCAAGGGTGAATGATGATGAACGGGTCAGGCGGTGCCATCCAGAAAGAGAGAGTAATCAGAACACAAACACCACACAAAATCTCACAAAGGTTGAGTTATTGACTCTAAAATCAAATAGCAAAATTGACTCAACCGAGGAGAAATAGAGACAGAAATGCAAACCGACTGGTTGGGTTGCCTCCCAACAAGCGCTTCTTTCACGTCGTGAGCCGGACGATGGCTCCTAAGTTTCGGTCCATGCTAGAACCTCCTTGAAGTTGAGGTTCTCGTCGATGAGGTGGAGTCTCAAGTCACGAGCATGTGGTGTGGCAGGTGATGAAGGCTCATGTACTTGATGCAGATGAAGTCTCCACCCTCGAGACCTCTCCTTCTCTTCTCTCGTCTCATTGCCCCAAACCAGATATGACAGCATCGATTGGCCACCATCGCGTCCACCAAGAGGGACCGATGTCGAGGTGGCCTTGGTCTGGCAAAGAGACACTGCAAATGGGTCCTTGCTAAGCAGTTCCTCGAAGTTTGGTGGAGATATCACATGTAACTCATGGCCGGTGCAGGCCTCTTCCACCTTAACTCCGTCCTCAGCCTGGACGCCAATTGCTTCTTCAACCCCCCTTTCTTCTTCATGTGGTATCACCCCTGGGAAATGATCAAGAACTCCTCCTGCTTCACTTTCGTCATCCTCCACAACTTCTTTCTGCACCCTTTGTTGCTCTTCTTCTTCTAGCACGGATTGGAGAGCAAGTTGCCAAGCAATTTCTTTCATGAGATCTTCTTGCAACTCCTCACTCATGCCCGCCTCTTCAAAGCGCAGTTTGGGGTGTGGGAAGGTGTGGTCGGCTATGACAGGACACTCCTGATCATGATCATCACTGGAGCTCTCCGTGACAACTTCAGTGTGCTCCACAATGTCCTTGTAGCCTTCTTCTTCCTCCTCCTCTTCTTGTATGGTAGCAGAAGGGTGATCTGGAGCAGGCTGTGCCCAAGATCGCTCAAGATCATCGACGCTCTTCTTAAGGCTCAGGAGGATCTCCTCTGTTTCACGATAGGCCTGGACACAATGATCCATCCTGGAGCATGTTCTATCACAGTCTCGAGCAAACTGCTCCATGAGAAGTCTCAATTCATAGTGTGGATCTGGCTGTGGAGTGTAGCATGGCTCTGCAGAATGGCCCGTGAAGGCCGCCATGGGTAACTCCAGCTCCAATGGCCCCTCTGGTTGTGGGAAAAATTCTTCTTGGTAATGAGGTTGTTCTTGATATGCCCAGGGATCCGGTTGTTCTCCGTAGTAAGGGGGTTGGTACTGGAACCCGAATCCATAGTCTTCTCTTCCTTGATTGCTCCAGGGAGTCTCGGGGTAATACCACTCAGGTGGTGGTGGATACCCCCAATGATTGGAGAAGCCATTAGGATCCATGATTCAGATCTGCACCAACAAAAACAAAAACACCCAAGTGAAAAGCAAGGGTGGAAAAGAAAAGAAAAGAAAAACGCTAAAGTAACAAACTTCTGCCTTTCTTAATACTCTAGAAAGTCCCCGGCAACGGCGCCAAAAACTTGATGCTCTAAAACACAACACCTAACAAAGGCCAAGTGTAACCAATGAAAGGGACTGCAGTAAAGTGGCTCAAGTGATAAATATCGAATCCACGGGTCTCTAGAGTTACTATTACTCAGCTTCAGTTTATTATTTAGCAAATCAGATTAAGATGAAAGAACTAAAACTACTCTAGCAAACTACAGTTAAAGTTAATCTAATTATAGGTTGGGAACTCACTTAGGTATGATTCTCCCTAGCCACTAGCCAGATTAATGATTGATGATCTCTAACCTGTTTCACTTTCATTCACAATGCGGAGAATCCTTGACTAGACCTTGAATCTCGACTAAAGGAACAAGGCCCTCTTGAGTCAATTGCCTAGAGGGACGTATCCTTCTCTAGAACAACTGATCAAGGCATTCTGAACTAGACTCCCTCTATTGAAAGAGGTTCTCAATCGATACAAAGCAGTGAATCAACCCTTGACTAAAGCAATCGATCCACTACTATCAATCTATGGTGCTCTATTGACCTAATCAGGTATTCCCTCTCATAGGATCAAAGCAGAATCAATAATCTCGACTAAAGTAGAATTGAATCATGAAAACATGCATAGATTGAATATGAACTCAAGATTATCAAGTCAGAGTACTCATACAATCATCCAATCAAACAAACATAGCTAGGGTTCCTCAAAACCTAAGTGAAGGGAAGTTACTCCATAGAAAAGAGAGAGACTGCAGTAAGAATCTTCAGATGATCAGTCTTCAAGTCCGGGCTTGTTCCTCAAGCTTCCAAGGCGAAGAAATCCTCCTTCTCTACTCCAAGAATGCCCTCAAATCGCCCTCTCTCTCTTTGGTTCGTCCCTTGGGTGTTTGGGATCCAAAAACCCAACTCCCCTCCTCTTTGGTTCGGAATTTGGCTTAAAACCAGGAAATCCCGACTCACACGGGCAGGGCCACACGGTCGTGTGGCCTACCCAGTTGCCCGTGTGAGGCAAAACGCACCGTATCACTTAGTCGAATTCCAGGCTTCTCACACGGCCAGAGTGGCACGGCCGTGTGTGACTTCCATCTGCCCGTGTTTGCTCTCGGCAAAACTCGCACGGCCAAGCCACTCCTTCACACGGCCGTGTGTGTTGTCAGGGCAGGCCGTGTTTGCTCTCGCACAATCTCACACGGCCAGAAATATGAGTTACACGGCCGTGTGATTTGTGGGTGTGCCCGTGTGGCCTCCTTTGTGACTTGCCTCGCGCCCGATCTTCGCCCAATCGACCCCGAGCTCGCTCCTAAACCTTCATTCACTTGCCAGGACCTGAAATATCACAAACAAGCACAACCTAGCGTGAAATCGGTCTAAAACACGAGAAACCACATCTCAAACGGTGTAAGAACAGGGGTAAAAACATGTGTAATTAACGGTCTATCAGTTCTCTCCTGGTTTTTTTTATTGTTGTTCTTATCTCTGCCCTGTCTCAGGGAGTTTTCATTCCTGTTCGTGGGTTCTTTCCTCCCCCTCTGTGGGATGTGGTTTTGACCTATGGTCTATTCTCTTTAGATATGGAGATGAGGTCCGATCTAAGATGCGAAGGAGGACGGATCTGATCCAGATCTGGCTTGTTTTCTCCTCTTCTCTCTCATGTCTATTTCCTTGTCATATCTTGCAGGTCATGGTGTTTTGGAGATGCAATCGATTGGCGTTGGACTCGGTTAGATGAGATTGAAGACAGAAGTGCTTCTCCTCTATTCCCCCCATTGACCGTCTGGTAGTTTATGATGGTTTCTCTTTGCTAGTGCGGCAGGAGAAGGAAGACGTCTGGCTCGGGGTGGGATGGTTGAAGATATCTTCTTCGTCATCCCTCCATCCGCGTTTTATGGAGGTTGATCTACTGCTTGGTGCATGGTGGTGGTTGGTGATTTGATGCGGCACTGCAGGTTTGACCTAGCGGCGGTGAAGGTTTGGCTGTTGCGGTGGAGGTTTTCAGGAGGCATATTTTCGGCTATGGTTCCGAAGGAAAAAAAAATTTGTTGGGCGTTGGGTCTGGCCCTATTGGGTTCTGGACATTGTTTGTCTGTTTTTTTTGTTTTTTTGTTTTTTTATAAGGTGAATTGCATTAAAAAGACAGAAAGAAAAATCCAATATTCACAAGCGGTGATTGCATGGGACAAAGGACAAAACCAGAGACTGGAAAAAAAGCACGAGAGAAAGCAACAATGCTTCAACAGCCAGGAAACTCCTGCGCGCAGAAGAGAAGGACCGCCCACGTAGGAGCACAAGCCAGCTCACGCAATAGCAAGAAAATGCACACAAAGAGACAAGGCGAGGGAAACCAAGGAGGCCCGAAACATCAGATCCTATGAAGACAATTATGTTGTCATTCAATACATTGTCTTTTATCAGCTTTCCCATGGACGACAACCCAATTGAGGACGTTATGGAAAATCTTACGGGTTAGAGCCGTCGCGGGGATGGAGGTTTGCTTGAAGATTCTCTGGTACTCTTTGGGCCGTGATTCGGGCCTAATTGTACACTTTTTATCCCCGATTATCTTTGACGTTTGTTGCAATTGAACTCCAAAAAGGTTGGTTTTACGCAAGGCTTCTTGTGTTTTAGTGTGTTTCAGATCCTAACAGGTAAAACAAAACTCGGAGTCGAAAGTTAGAAGAAAAGGAGCAAAGACCGGACATAGAGGTGGAGACAGTCATAGTTAACGGCCAGACGTTGGAGTTCACGGTCTTACTGGACCGTGAACTGGAGCCATAACCCGTGAAGCGAGGAGCAAACAGAGGGAGTTCAAGTTACTGGCTCTCAGGCCGTGAACGGGAGCCACTGACCGTGAACCCAAACAATTGATGCGGTGCGTTTTGGTCGTGACACTGAGTTCACGGACGCGTTTCAACATTCACGGCCATGAACTCAACGCGATCTCCCACTTATGAGGAAAGCTGAAGGAAAGAAGAAAGAAAAGAGAGACCTAGAGTGAGAAAACTTCTCCTTCCTCAGATTTTAGAGTAAGAAAGTGACGAACCAAAAAAGAGGAAAAGCTAGGGTTTGATCTCCAAGCAAGGATTTGGATTTTCTTCAGCACAAGGAGAAAGGCTTGCCTCTTCATGATGGTTTTCCTTTCCCTCTTTTGTGTTTTCCCTTCTCCTAGCATGGAGTAGTCCCTTATTTCACATGGGTGTTTGTAAACCCTAGCTACTATTTAGTGGATGCTTGTATGAATCGAATGATTTGTGTGTGGATGTGTTTTAATACGAATGTGGAGGTACTATTCAGAAATGATTGTGTTGTGTGAAAGCCTATCAATCGAATTGCCATTCTAACCTAGATTAGAGAGAACCCTCCTTAACTTAAGAGGCTGTTCCAGAGATGGGTTTCCTTGGGCATTCTATGCCTCCTAGTCTTGGTTAGTTAAAGGGAAAACCTCCTAATTCGTATTAAACACTTAGAGTTTTGTTGTGGGTGGCCGTCTGAACTCTAATTCGAGGGTGAAGTCTAACAATTCCTAAGTCGATAGGTTCAGAGGGTCACATCAGTGGCTTGGATCGTATCCCATTACTCAACCTAGAGTCTAAGAGGGTAACTTTTGTTGCTTGTTAGACTTCCCTGCGGTTTATGACCCCCTAACCACACATGATCGTTCGATTCTTCGAGTCATAATTGTTAGCTAGGGGGAGCAACACCCGGGTGAAGCTTTCTCAACTAGAGTCAAATCCATTTTACCTTTGCAAAGTAATTTAGTTTTCAACCTTTGTTTTCACCAAAAAAGATCCGCTAGATAATGTTTCAAATAGTCGAAGTAGCGGTACATGGACCGGCCCAGGTTGATATTTAAACATACTTGCCCAATATTGCACCCATCTAAGGTTCATACTTGGACCTTATCTGAGATTTTATTGTGATAGTTAGAGCGAGTCAGACCGGTTGTTTTTTTGTTGTTCAGATCCAGTTGATGTCTACTTGTACTTTTCTGGGCTTGGCCCGTTCGCACTCTTAATGAACTACTACTTTAAAAAAAAATTAAAGCTTCTATAAAGTGACGGGTAAAGCCACGTGTTAGGAAATAACTCATTACACATAGGGAAAATCCTACCATGACAAAGAAATATAATAGATGTTGCCGTCAATAATAAAGTCTCGGGTAAAGCCACGTGTGAGGCAATCAATCATTGTACATCGGGAATAGGAATAGTTCAACTGAGCATCGGTTCGCGACCGTACGATGTTGTTTATGTCGTACAATCCCTTACCAAGTGAATTGTTGTATGAGAATTCTGCTTGCAAAGCACAGGTAAAGCTTCTGACACCCCTTGCTTTCATTGCTCTCCACATGTATCGAGAAAAAGGAGTTAAACAAAACTCTTAGGGTAATGACTATTTATTAGCTAAAAATTTTTCGAATTCTTTTATATTAGCCAAACCTATCGAAATACTAAAAATTAGTCAAATTTAACTTCCAGTTAGCAATTTTGTTAGTAATATTGATTTATCAACATGATACTGACTTGTAAGAAACACATGAAGATCAACATATCAAAATTTTAGTATTTTAACTAAGAAAATAGTTACAAAATTATTAACGACAATGAAAAATGACTAATATTTTGATACATTACGAAAGTTTTGACTAAATAGTAGTATTTTATTAGGTTTGGATAATATAAAAAAAATCTGAAAAAAGTTTGGATAAAAAAATAGACATTACACAAAATTTTATGCTAAAGGTGCGGAAATTGCTCCATCAAGTCTCCAAACAACCCCACTCATTCTACAAAAAGTACAAAAATCGGTAATGCTTTATATAAAAGAGAACATATAAATTCTCATTAAATTAAAAGTATCATAGCATAAAACACTTTACACTATTCATCTAGACTGTTTCTCCTATTCATTTAAACTCAATTTTACTATTCACGTGATTCGGATTGTTCTACTCTTGCGGCGGGCCCCGTGTTCTCTAGTTGGCCACCAGTAGACTTGGGAGGGATAATAACTGCAAAATTCTTCCCTCGCAATCTCGGGTAGATCATGCCTTTGTTTTCCCTTTGTTTCATCTGCCTTTGTTTTATCTTTTCTAGTCAGCTTAGTTATTTCTCTTCTCTCTTCTCAGGAGATGGGCGGAGTTGAAAGCCATGAAGACGAAGATTTGAGAAATCTGGTAAGTATCCGGAGTATATCCAAATCCGCCAGTTGTAACTTTGATTTTTGGCGATTTATCCTGCTCTCTCTGATGAGTTTTCTTTACTTTTTTACAGTTCCATTCATCATTCAGATCTATCGATTCTTCGGAGAAGATTCATGTGTCGAGTTCAGCGATAAAAGTTCTATCGATCAGGGGTGTCTGTTGATTCAAACTCTTGCAGGGGATTGGGGTGCTGGGGAACCAACTTTTTGTTGCAGCTCCGTCATCTCTACAAGGCATGGGTTTTTTCTCTCTCTTTTCTTGATAGGTTTGTTTTTCTCTTTCTAGTTTCATTCGTGGCCTTAATCCGTCGGTGTTATCTTTGACTTATAGTGATTAGCTGGACGATGAAGTGTCTTTTATTTGGCGGTCTTTCTTGACCACTCGCTGAGTCATCTCAGTTCTTTCTTTCTGTCATGCGTTGAGCATGGTCCTTTTGTTGTGGTATCTGTATATGATGGGTTAAAAGTAAACACCCCCCAATACTCTTTCCACACTCACTTTGATTTGATTTTTGTATGAGCAATAATTCAATACGAAAGTTTAAAATTGTTTTGTTGTCAGCAACTGTACAAGGATTTTGTAATCATTTCTACTGAATTCGTGCTCAGATGTTAACCAATTGTCTATGTTTTAATGGATTCAATTGCAGGGCCTGGCTAAGAAAAGTTCTCTCAGAAGATGTGAAAGAGATATCTCTAGGTTAAAGTTCTCTGAAAATGTTGAAGATCAAGAAAAACACAACATTCTCAGGGATGGGTAAGAAATGTGGACAGAGGAAGTGGGAAAAGCTCTAAATGAAATGTTCAGACTCAACATAGATGGTGGCATAAATAGCAGAGGCAACTCTGGACTTGGAGTGTTGATCGTTATAGGAATGAGAATGTTTTGCTGCCACGCCAACTGAGGATGTAAAATTGAGCAATAATTTGGTTGAAGTTAAAAACAGATTGTTTGCTCATAGAGATTCGATTCATGTTGCCCACCATTTAGCCCACCTCATGTTTCTCAGCAAACTATATTGAATGGTTGTATTCCCCTCTTATTGCTCTGATGTAATTACCCATGAGGCTATTCCTTCATGTTAGTAATGAAAATTGAAAAAATTAGAACTTAAATAATTGGTTTGTAAATATTCTTTCTGGTGTATCCTCCCTATAACACCTGCTATCTTAGAAAATTTCAATGTGTTCTTCTCTACCTTGAATCATGACGTAAATGAGTGAGAACCAGATGCAACTATGCATCACAATTTTGCTGCATAAGCGAATATATGTTCTTACTTTGTTTCGTTCCTTCTCTAAATAATAAAGGAGGAACCAAAAGCTTGGTCCACAAATGTTTTGCAAGTTTATAATGTCATTGTCAGCCATATTCTATGGGTTATCTCATGAAATACAAAATAGTTCATTTCTGTTTTGTTGGGTTTGCTTAAATCCCAACGCGGAGAGCGGACAATGAAACCTAGTTGTCATTAAAGATAAAGATGTGCTTAAATCTATGAATAAAGCTACAAAGAGCTTCGCCTCAAACATTCGTGAGAGTCTCGATAATAGACGTTGTTGTCATTAATTATGTGTCGGGTGAAGCCACGTGTGAGACAATCACTCATTACATATAGGGGAAAACCTACCATGACAAAGAAATATAATAGACAATGTTGTCATTAATAACGTGTCGGGTAAAGCCACATGCGAGGCAATCACTCATTGCACATAGGGAATAGGAACGATTCAACTGAGCATTGGTTTGCAACCGTACGATGTTGTTTATATAGTACAATCCCTCGCCGTGTGAAGTGTTGTTTGAGAATTGTGGTCGGAGAGCACGAATAAAGCTTCTAGCACCACCTCGTTTTCATTGTCTCTCCACACGGATTGAGGAAAAGGAGTTAAACAAAGCCCTTATGCAAAAGGTGCATAAATTGCTCCATCAAGGCTCCAAATAACCCCACTCGTGCTACAAAAAGTACAAAATTGGCATGCTTTGTATAAAAGAGAGAACATCTAAATTCTCATTGTCATTAAAGATAGAGATGTGTTTAAATGCATGAATAAAGCTACAAAGAGCTTCGCCCCAATCATCGCCTGCAACCACTTTGCTATTCGCCCTTTGCTTTAATTTTTTTTACTGCTATTTCTTTTATTTAATTTTTTTTAATTCAAGTACAATCTTCGGTTTGAGTAGTCGATCATTATAAATTCGTGTATAGGATATGAATACCCCTCGTGTATTCAGTAAATTTGATTGTACAATACAAAGTGATCAATAAGGGCTTCGTTTAAATCATTTTCCTCAATCCATGTGGAGAGGTAATGTAATAGAAGAGTGTCAGAAGCTTTATCCTTTCCCTCCAAGCACAATTCTCAAACGACACTTCGTTCGGCGAGGGATTGGGCTAGATAAGCAAAATCGTATGATCGATGCTCACTTGAACCGTTCATATTCCGCCTGTGCAACGAATGATTGCCTCACACGGGGCTTTACTCCACACTTTATTTGTAAATACGACATCTTTTCTATTGCTTTGTTGCGTAGGATTTTCGAATGTATAGGGATACAACTCGACCCTAATTGCTTTTAAGACTTCAAGACTCGTTTGCAAGAGTACAAAAACTCACAAATGATAGTGATAAGCAGTGTATCCTAACATTTAGAATGGTCTTTAGTCTCATGACGATGACATCCTTCATAGCTACACTAGCCTCCCTAGATTACCTATTATCGCAAAGACGAGCAATTCAAAGTAAGGTGTGCTTTAATTGTTTCAAAAAAATTGAAAATTTTATGCTCATTACGGACATAATTGTCCTTCTTTTGCATGAACATTCAATCGAGGATGATACGTGAAGTGCAGTCTAAACTCACCCGCACCTTAAATAGGACGATATCTTCATTGGACCAAGCAAGGGAGTATAAAAACGAAATTACCTCGATCCTTAAAATGATTTATGCACAATCGACTAGTTCCTTTTGATTTTTTCCCTTAATAGAAAGAAAATAAAAAGAAAAACAGAGAGTGCATGCATCATCTGCTCATCTATAACAACCACCTTAGATAGGTTTGCCTAACTAACCTCTTGAATGCTTCAAAATCGAGTCATTTGAGTTGTGAACAGAGGAGGCTGCCCCGCACAGCACATAATCTTCTAACTCAAACAACGGAGCGCGAAGCAACTAATGTTAGGCGACATGCATAGAGCCAGCTTATAGTCGCATTGATTGTTCGTGTTGTCATAAGCGATGAGCACAAACTCTTGACAATAATTTCATTGTTACTATTGTCGCGTCAGAAGGTATAATATCCAACGATTTGGTGTACGTCCAAAGGTAGGACAAGTGGGATGGTTGGCACCCTCACTTCTCAAGGTAGGAAAGTGCCTCCTTACTCCTTAAGACGTGCCATAACACTTATCATGTATCATTGTGAGGAGTTATTCAAAAAAGAAGATCATTACATTTTTTTTTTTTGGGGTAAAACATTAGAGACACTTCTACTCACTTACATAATATTTTATAATTTAATTATTACAAATTTCCTCCTATTAGCTACCCCTTCTCTGAAGTTCTGCTCCCTAATTCAAAATCAAGCCTTCGGCATGTTTGGAACTTTGGATACAATTCCGGAAGAAATGGAAATGAAATTCCATTTTCATTTTCTATTTTTATAGAATTCCATTTCCAGTTTTGTGTTTGGTATAATTTCTACAACTATGAAAATGAATTGCACTTTTACTATAATTAATAATATAATATGTTTGTTTTATATTGGGAGATGGATTATGAATGATAGAGAAAGAGAGTAGAGTGAAAATTGATTAATAAAATTATAATAAACAATGATAGAACCCACTAATTCCATCTTCATAAACCCAATTCCTATCACTTTTGATAGAAATTGTAATTCCCAAAACTTAGACTAAATAAAATTCATTTCTCAACCTTCTTATCATTCCAAACATAAAATATTGAATTGAAATTGGAAATGGAATTCCAAGAGTTTTCCCCCTGTCAAATAGGTTGTTAAAGTTAAAAGTGAATCTGAACTTAGGTAACCAGTTCGTGAAGCGGGAGCGGGAGTGAGAGCGGGAGCGAGAGCGTGAGCGCGTCTATTATTAAAGAATTTGATGCTGAGAGCGTGAATAGAGCGTCTTTATTTTATTAATTTTTAATTAATAATTTTAACTAAATATATCTTTTAAATTAAATAATACCCTTTTACTTAATTATAACAATTAACACATGAGTGTCTCTACGGAGAAATACGAAAAGTTGAAGTTTTTATGTTAATCACCTGGTTTTAGAAAATATATGTTTATATATTTTGTTATTTATTCCTTTATTGCATTAATAAAACAACAACTCATGGCTACAAAAATGACATACGTGGAATTTTATGGACCATTTATATATTGATATTTTAGCTACACCAATGCTCCTTTTCTACAGTTTTCTATCGCCGACTCACTTTCTTTTCCTATTCTCTTCCAATTTGAGAATTTTTTTACATCTCGGCCATTCCCTCTTCCCTTATATCCGTCGCCGTCGGTCGTGGTTTCGGAATACGTTGACAACACTTGACAGAGATCTTCAATGGCAGGATGATGGACGGGAGGAAGCGCTGAACGAAGCGATTGAAATCGCTGACAACACTTGTCGGAGATCTTCAACGGCGGGACGTGCTAAACGAAGCGATGAACTAGCTGCCAACACCCGACGGAGATCTTCAATGGCGGGATGAAGGACGGAAGAAAAGCAGTAGCGTCTTCCAATGGGACAGTGATCAATGAAATTGGTCAAAGACGAACAAAAATGGACGGTCAATTATTGGCATGTGGAAGGTTTCTCAGAAAAATTCAGATCCGCGATCTTCCTAAACAAATTCGCGAACTAAATACGTTTTGCCGAGAAATCACAAATCCACGCTCTAAAGCGGGAACGTGGAGGCTTACCCCCACGAATTAGGTAACATAAATCTGAACTAGAAAAGGAAATAGAAGAAAGCAAAACCAGCCACGTCGACAATCCGAGAACTTTGAAGAGCAGTCTTCGGGCCCAAGAAACTCATGTCGACCAAACCGCTCGGGTACCGCCACGTGCCCCTTTACTGCGTCATACGTAAGCCACGACAGTAAGCCACGTCAGTAATATCTATCCGTCTGCTCGTTTTTTATTGCATCGGGATACGAAAGGCGCTAAATATCTCTCGAATAAGCTACATGGTTTCTTCGTCCCCAAGACAGTGGGTTGGCGGCCGTACAGCTGAATTTCTGGTAACCCCCATTCTCACCTCATTCACTCTCTCTGATAAACCCTTTTTCAAGAGGGCCTAATCTTGGCTTAAACCCCTCTCGAACCCTAATCCGAACACCACAGAATCAATTTCATCTCAATCTTCTTCACCGGTGGGTGACTAACTTCAATAACCTTCTTCTCTCGCCGACTTCGTTCCAAATCTCGTTTCCAGGCCAAAATTTCAAAAAATGGCCGACTTGTTGGGAAGCGGCAGTTTCCTGGGGATTAGTAGCACGAGCTCGAGCGGCAAGCGAACACCGAGGAGGAGAAACGGCACCGTGTCGGTAGAAGAGACGCTGGAGAGGTGGAAGAAACAAACGAAGGTGGACCTCCTGAAGAACCACAACCCACCAAAGGGCTCGAAGAAAGGATGCATGAGAGGGAAAGGGGGCCCCGAGAATATGAACTGCAAGTACAGGGGAGTTCGGCAGAGGACTTGGGGGAAATGGGTAGCTGAGATTCGGGAGCCGGTTCGTGGAACCGGTTCGACGAAGAAGAAAGGGAGCAGACTCTGGCTTGGAACGTTCGAGACTGCAATTGAAGCGGCCGTGGCTTATGACAACGCTGCCAGGTCAATGTACGGAGATTGCGCGGTGCTTAACTTCCCTTCTTCCTCTGTGGATTATCGGTCGAGTGATATTTTGTCTCACGAGGCTGAATCGGGCGAAGTAAGTGGGTCGCTGAATTTGTGCGAGGGTAATTCTAATATGGACGTGGAATCGAAGATGGAACGGGCTGGTAGATGTGAAGGTGACTTGTGTGGGAGGGCGAAACATGAATTGGGTTGCTCTGTTTTCAATCAGGGGAATGAGGAATCCGTGGTGAAAACAGAATTGGAAGCGTCGGGCTCGAATGAGTGTGAGAAGAAGGGTGAATCTGAACAGCAAGTCGCAATCCTGAAAACGGAAGAACTGGACGAAGAGCTGGAGGAGTTTATGAGATACTGCAGTGGTTGGGGGCTAAACCCAACCACAAATCCGCCCGAGCAAAGCCCTGTGAAAATGGAAGAGGAGAGCGGTTATCAACAAACCAATAACGGTGACATAGATCTGAATCCTCCTCCTCGTGTCTACCCTGGAAGCTCTTCTGATTTCAACTCGTCAGGGATGGGAGGAAGATATGGTGATTATGGACATTGCTTCCAGTTGGGTTCGCAGCAGGATGGAAGGCAGTGGGATCTGGCTTCTTACAACAATGGTGGAGGAAGTGGGAGCTGTGGCTTTGGTTGGTCGGGCTGGGGGACGGAGATGGATTGGAATATGACGATGGAAGAGCCAGGGTTTTGTGAAGAAGATAGGTTGTTCTCTGTGGCTGAATTTGGATTCCAGTAGTAGTGTGAAAGTGTTCATGGAGTCTTTGAGGGGTTTGGTCTTCTTCTATAGTAGGATCTGTAGATTTGGAGTTGCGCTCATATTAGGGTTCTTACTTCTTGCACCGTTTAAGCTCTGCCCTAATTGTGTTCGGCTGTCTCAGTTTTAGATTTGTCGGTAGCAGTCGGATTACGAGCTACTGTTCAGAATTTTTCTCTTCTGTCTACACAGGTAGAGGAACTTCTTTTGTAAGTTGTAACCCTAACCAAGTTATGCTGTATACACGTAGAATTTTGAGGGAGGATCTGAACCAAAACAGCTAATAGCGCCACCGCACAGAAGCGAGCGAACACTGTACTGCTACAATTTTTTGTTCGGGTGCCAGAGAAGAGAAAAGTATATATACAAGCAAAGCTGTTCAATCCTTGTTTGGGCCGCGTCAACTCTCGAGCCAGGTCGCGCCATGCTACTCCTTTTCCTGGTTGGCTTCGGCCCAAACCACTTTCCAAGGCCCATTTTTATCGCCCAACCTAACACAGCCGAAGGAATGGAAGAATCATAATTCTTGATACTCTTTTCATTCTGTTCCATATTTTCCCCAACTAATGATGTTACCATATTAGAAAGAAGGTTTTATTACCTCCATATACCAGCAATGACACGCAAGATCATGAAAAGGAATAACCCAGCCCAGACGCCGGGAAGACCGTATAACGGAGCAGCCCAGAGTAGAAACAATGATGAGACTAGACCAACTACCACCTGTCAAAAAGCAACCACCAAACTTGGCTCAGAACTGGAAAACCAGAGACGATACAGTATTTGGAATACCACGCTCCTCTTCACTGAGTCTAGGATGAAGAAGAACAAACCATGGAGTAGGCAGCATATCCAAAGTCTGAAACACCGTAGTAGAGGCCATCGAGAACGAAAGCTAAAGCATTCACAGGCTGAGAACCAGCAACGAACTGCAGAAGTCGAATTAATTAGTGCTATGCAAATACTTGGAATAATGATCATTCGTTGTAATTGAAGGCAATAAGCAAAAACGCATTTGAAGACTATTTATGGATGTCCATTAAGAGAAGCACATTGCATTGAGTATAAAGCAATAGTGTTCTAAGCGCGAATTGTCATTTAGGGAAATAACAATTCTCACCCAAATACCAGAGGAAGCAATTTTTAGGACTTCAGCATCTGTGGTGAATAGGCTAGCAAAAGATCCAAATCCAAGAAGTAGTGTGGCACCCAAAGCCATTCCAGTCCCCAAACCAATCTGCAAAATTAAGGCAGAAATGAAGTCACCAAAGAATGTGACGGTTTAAATCAGTCCCCACAAGACAGCTGGAGGAATCCAAAGCCACATGAATTTAAGCGTGGGACAATCCGCACCTGCAGAACTTTATAAGTCACTTGCCGTGCTTCTTCATACTGTCCTTTGGAGTAGCCACCAGCCAGCAGAGCCTGTATAATGCTTAAATCAGAGCCGGTGGAGGGGCCAAAACTTGCTCGGATGTTTGATTTTAGGCTATCAGCAGTGAAAGCAATAACAACAGAAATGACAAAAAGCAAGGATGTTTCACGGTTTTCTTGCATATAAGAGTCATCGACACAGCCAATGAGCCAAAACAGTTACCTGACCAGCAATTGCTAAAGCATCATTGAGCAGGGATACAGCCAACCAAACTTGCATGCAAATTTGATGACCAGCCATGAATATTGGCCCCTCCCTAGCTGCCAAGGATGTTGACAGTGTCATTGTTAAAAGCACTGCTACAGTCCTACCAATGAGAAGGCCACCTGCAATTTTAATGAAGCTACGATAAGCAAGCAGTTCAAGCAGTCACTCAGTAGTGAACTACCTTTTCTATTTCTACTTTCAGTTAAACAAGTTAAAAGAACTTACCAGAATTAAGATAGCGGATTAGTCTTATTCCATCCATCTCTGGAGAGACCAGCTTCACTTTATCATTCAACTTCCAGAGAAGGATAATTGCAATTAGGTACCTAGACGGATGAGAAACATAAAGTGTATTTAGCAGAGAGAGGTAAGAGTTGCAAATATCAGTAATACTAACATGAACGACAAAGCACCGCTATAATAAAGTTTACCACATCAATGACGTACTCAGATATCACAGTGGCAACTGCAGCTCCCCCTATGCCAAAACTGCATAGGAATATCAGGATTGGATCTAGGATTGCATTCAACAAGTTGCCAAAACCTGCAGTTGTGACCATACAAAACGAGAGACAGACCACTGTTATCCAAGAGACGTAGTAATGCTCTAAGAACTCCAAATGATCTAGATTCCACTGTCCTTGTAGCGATTCAGCTAGATCAAACCTACAACGGTGACTATGAAAATTGATTGCATGCTAGTGAAATAAAGCTAAAGTAGTTGAGTTCCTGAAATACAGTTGCAACGTATATATTGCTGGCAACAGATGTGAAAGTTAAGATTTCCATTCTTCCAAGTTTCAGCAGTAACATATTGTTCCATGTCCAAAATATGGAAGAAACAGGTGTTTCCACGACTCTACCACCCAATCAATTCTGTTCCACTTAATCCCTATTTCATGGCCACTTATCTTTTAGGCTAAGGAATGGGAAACCTTTCTCCTAAGTGCTAAAGGAAGACAGTGCCATAATACTTGCCAATGGCATATAGAGGCGTCTTTGTATCTTTAAACCCACGAAAAGCTCCCTGTGCAGCAAGGGCTATCACAATGGGTGGAGCACCAATCGCCTTTAATGTAAGGAACTGCTCAGCTGGCACTCGCATAGGTGAACCCTATAAACCACGGAAGAACTTATATTACACATCCAGTCTTCAGAGAGTGTCTAGTAAATTGAATATATAGGCAACCAAATGGCAGCCTGAATTTTGATTCAGTGATATCTTAACAAGCAAATTCATACAAACGCATATCAAGCTGTGACGTACTACAGGTATACCCATGATATTCATTAAGAAACCCGAACCAATATATAGTGCAACAGCTTCTGCAACGCCAAAAATAGTGGCGAGGACCAAGGAAGTGGACACCGAGGGAAGTTCTTCTGACCGAATCCCTGAACCTGATGACAAACACATTGTAACAGAAATTACACCACAAGAGACAGAATGCAGAATTCAGAACATTTGTGAAATAGCTTAACATCTTGAAAAGTTGAAGCCAAGTTTTCAGTTGTTACCATCACCCGATTGAACTGAACTAGTGCTAACTCTTTCGCCAAGCAGAGCTTGTTCTTCGGCGACAAAGGATGTTGTGATGTTAAGTAAGGGCACATTGAACAATTTAGATACCAGATTGAATATCGAAACTGATACTCCAACTGCCGCTAGTTCAACCGCTCCTACATGAATCAGATGATTAGAGATAACAAGTATCAGTACCAACAAAGAAAGCATTATGAACAGAGCACAAATCACAATTGCATCTCTAGGACTTAAGAGTGGAAGGTGAAGCATAAGTACCGATGTGACCAACAAAGGCTGTGTCGACCAGAGAAATGATAGGATCAGCGGCGAGAGCTAAAGCAGCAGGGAAGGCAATCGACAAAATCTCCAAACCCAGCTCATCTAGCTTGATTGCGTTTCTGCCGAAATCCAAAACACGAATAGAGTCATCGAAACTGAAATTCACAAATCCAGCGACGCCAACTGATCGTCTCATTTTCAGTTGTAAGCAGAAACAATCACCTGACGCGACGGAGAAGAGGTACCGGCAGGCCGTCGTTTTCAAGTTGTGCATTAGATACCGGAATCGGAGAAACCTCCGGAGCGTTGGACGATGCTTCAGAGTTTTCTCTCTGCGAAAGAGATCTCGGGACGGTTCGCGAACGAAGAATGGAGAAGTTGGAATTGTTGTTTCTCAAGAGAGTCCGGGATTTCGGAGTCGAGGAGCAGACGCCGAGCAGAAGCTCGTGAGAGATACCTGCGGAGACGGCGGCAGCCATCTCTGACTCGGAGTCGGAACTGGGAGGGAAATTGCGCTCATGCGTTGGGAGGGAAAGTGAAGGAGGATTCTCACATCGCCTGAGACCGGAGGGTGGGGATGTGTACCGGATGGATGCGATGGCCACTCGCCACAGGTTAAATTTCCATGGCCACGCAAATTAACGGATAGATTACGCGCTGTGATTATGAAAATATCTGGCCTTTTATTTGATAACCTTTTATTGGGCCTTCAAGAGAGGCCAATAATCTGAACCGTATCCACGAGCCCAGTAAATCTGGACCGTATCCTTGTGCGACAGTATATATTGGTTATATTTCTCATAATACTCTCTTTTCCACTTTTTTATTTTTGGGGGGATTCTTCTCGTCTTCACAATGTATTCCTTTTACTTGCTTTAAGAAAGTAATTTGCCAACAACATCAGAATTCACGTGGTTTAGGCCCTGCTATCACTCCGCAACACTTCTACTATGCTATAAAGTATTTGATGTTTTAATGTACAATTTAAAGTTGTACCATAACGTTAAATGTATAAGTTCAGATTGTACCATAAAGGAATTTGTGCTCTTATGTTATGGTACAACTTTATAACTTAAACTTGTACCATCAAATGAAAGTACAAGTTTAAATTGTACCATAAAACAATTTGACAAAAGAGTATAGGTACAATCTGAAATTGTACCATAACGTTAAGGTACAACTTCAGGTTGTACCATAAAGGGAAAAACCTATAGCACCAATATTATATAGCATTGTAAAATTCCTCCACATTGCTTGTTAAAACTATTTTAAAGCCAGATTTTTAATCGGTAGGACTTATTTGGTCAAGGATTTGTCTACTATTCATAAAATTCGAACAGTACAAATTTCCAATGCGTATTAATATTTATATATTTTCAGGTACCAATTTCCTTAAAGATTATTTATATTTCTTACCGAAAAAAAAAAGAGTGAGAGAGAGAGAGAAAAGACGACTTATTATCTATCGTCTCAAGCAATTGCAATTTGAAAGAGCCCATTAATTTGACAGTTATACAAACACAATTAGTAACCATGATTTTCACCAGCAGCCCATATACAACACAAGCAAATTTAAGTGACAGCAAAATCTTTCAAGTCCAAAACCATGCATGAAACGACTGGGCATTATATTGATGGCGCTCGATGTATACGAAGAAAAGAGAGGCTGATGGCAATGAAGAAGGCCGGAGCCGCCCGCCAATTGGTTAGCTAAAGCCTGCGGAGAGAGAGGAAGGGAAGGCATGTGAAACGGCCGGCCACCACAAGTGAGAAGGTGGACTGGAGGGAGGAGCGACAGCGGAGCAGAGCATAGCAGACGCATGATGAGGAGGAATTTAAGTGGAAGAGAGAGGAGCAGCGTGGAAATGCGGGCACCTGCAACCAACCACAAAATTTAAAGGAAAAACTGGGCCCCGCGCCCCCCCAACAAATAAAAAAAAAAGAAAAAAAAAAACTGGAAATGAGTGCTAATAAGCATATAATGGGCAGCGGCAGAGACATTTATGATTTATGTATGTGTCTATGGTATGATATGATGATGCCGATCATTCATAACCCACAACGACTGTTGATTTTCGCATTAAAAAAAAACCCCTAATACCGTGAGTTGCACGGAGACGGAGTTAAGAGTTGGCCAGGGTATCAGCCAGTCAACATCCCCCAGTCCAACGTAACCCGGCCAGGCTATATGATTATGGCTACAACTCAAAGGCGATTGTGGAAATCTCAAGGAAACAACCCCACAAGAAAGAAAGAAAGAAAGAAAGAAACATAATCAAGCAAATAAAAACTCCCATCCCATCACATGGTTGGATATATTGCATGAACAGGAGTAATCACCAGCACCCAAAAAAGCGCATTATATATATATATATATAATAAAAACACAACACACACATTATACATATATCTATCTATATCTTTGCATGGTCCATGTCTCCACAACTACATTAATGTAGTCCCTGTTCAATTATGTATCCATTAAAAGGAAGCACAATCATATTGCTATCCACCACCTCCATTATTTCATATCATAGGCTATACACACCCACCAAATCCACACCCATAATTAAATAAACAAATAAGTAAATAATTACTCTGTTCATACACAAAACTCTCAGTCGATCTCTCACCCTTGTTATATCTCTGCCGCCCTGGGTCAAATTAGCAACAACTCAACAACACATCATTCCCAAGAACTAATAACAGAATCACCATAAAACCATAATGATGAGTCAACCAAGCAAGCGCGTTAACAGATGAGCAGGCCGTGGAGTGGAGTGGAGTGGAGTAAGAAGAACCGATAAAACTCAGGATGGATAGCGCCAAAAGGTGGAATAATGTTTTCAAGAAAACTCAGGATGTTATATCCCCTTCTATACATGGCGCTATCCCTCCTGAGCTTAACTGATTCCTCCATACTAATTTTCTCGCACACAAATGCAAAAAATATCAAAAGAGATGGATAGAAAATTTTATGGGCCAAGGAGAGGTTGAAGAGTAAGAGGAATGTGTGTGGGAGTGATGGATGGGTGGGAAGAGATAAAGGCAGAGACCGGTCGTATTTATAGCGGAGGAGATTCTCGCATGAGAGAGAGAGAGAGAGAGAGAGGGGCGTTGGGGTTGGGACTTGGGAGAAGAAAGATGACGGTGGTGAATGAAACGTGGGAGGATTTGCAGACAAACGTCACGTCTCCTCTCCTTTCTTTGAGAGAGAGAGAGAGAGAGAGAGAGGAATTCTGGGCTCGGCCTTGGCTTTGACTAGCATTACCAATCAATCAGGCCCCCCCGTTCCCTCTCATTAATTCCTCTCCCATCTCCTTTCTTTCTTTGGTTGGATTGGATGTATTTCGGAACTTCAATTTTTTTTTTTCATGCAATTCGACAACAGTATACTTCAATTATTCAAAACTTTTAATCTAGTTTACTACAAATTTCAACCATATTAAGATCCAGACATAATTTACTGCCCAAATATATTGAATCAAACAAGATTGCTTTTTTTATTTATTTATAAGCACATATTACTAGATGATGACACGTAAACTAAACATCGTGCAACAAAGACAAAACTAACATTGAGTTTTCAAAGAGTTTCTTATCTTTGGGTTACTTTTGCTAAATCCACAAGTCACTGTTTTGATTGTGCCAAATTTTTGGTTTCTGATGGATCGTTTACCAATTTTTTGGAAACGGGGGTTACCATCCTTTTTCTTCTTTTGGGAGGTAGGTGATTTTTCTTTTCGGAGGTGATTTGTAATAATTGATAGTAATACCATTAAGTAGTATATATATATTATTGTGGTTCGGCCAACAAATCCCCTTTTTTAATGTCTGTGTTTAATGAGTGGCCAACAAATCATTTTTAGTGCATCTGCCGACTACGGTACGCGGGGCAGAGTAGACTGCTACAGTAAACTTACCACCCAAAAATATATGACCTTTTCTTTGGCCTTTTTTCTTTTTCCGTCATGGCTATTGGATGCTATGATTTAGAGCATCTCCATCAATGTAATTGTAAAATAAAAAATAATATAATAAAAAATAAAATAAAAAATTCCCATTTTTAATGCTTTTTTTACTTGCATATGGAATTGCATTTGTTGCAAGCTTGCAAATATTCAATTGGTAGCCACATCAATGCAATTGGTTTTGCAATTGCAAACACCTATGTTATGTCATTTTGCAATTGATAATGCAATACCAATGTGGATGCTCTTAGCAAACAATCGTACGTTACGGAGGATAATGAATGGCGTAAACTTCAGGGTGGGTTAATCCTATTTCTACAAAATATCCTATTTTACCACCCATTATCCGCCTCTTTGGATAAATTCCAGAAGAAATGAAAATGGAAATGGAATTCCAATTTTTATTTTTATAGAATTCCATTTCCTATTCTAGTGTTTGGTATAATTCCTACAACTATGAAAATGAATTACATTTTTAACCATAATAAATAATGTAATACGTTTGTTTTATTTTGGGAAATAAAATATGAATGAGAGAGAAAGAGAGTAAAATGATAGTGGGTCAATATAATAATAAAAAGTATCGATGGGTCCCACTAACTCCATCTTTATTCTCTCAATTCCTATCATTTTTTATAGGAATTGTAATTCCCAAATTTTAGACCCAATGGAATTCAATTCTCAACCTTTTTTATTATTCCAAGCATAATTTATGGAAATGGAATTGGAAATGGAATTCCAATTTCTTACTTTTTTGTCAATCCAAACAGGCTGCATATGAATCATATCATCCTGGTATGATCATTTTAGGAAATGTTTGATTCGTATCAAAGGTGATAACACACCGATTTTGTAGGTTTTGTGGCCAATGAATTTTGCACATGTTTACCCCATAAATTTGTATTGTATCACATTGATGAGTTACAAGATAAGTAATAAGTTTATAAGGCCAAATCAATTATAACAATTAATGTTATTTAAGTTGGGCCTAATGAATATTGATTTTAAGCCCAAACCACTAAGTCATTGGTGAGCATGGACATGATTTAATGACGGACATGGGCCTCTTGTAGGAAGCTATGCCATGCCAAGAGATTGTATAAAAATAAATTACGTATGGAGAGGAATGTGCCGCTTCACGAAGAGGGCCATGTCTGTGTATAATCTAGAAGTACATGCAATCTCAATGAGAGGGACCATGTACGTGGGGAGAACTCTCAAGTCATGTGATCATGCCACAATAAGTAGGGGTGGGCAACGGGACGGGATACCCGTCCCGTTTGAAACGGGTACCCAATCCTATTTGGAGGTGAAAGTCCATCCCATGTCCCAAACTCGTATGTGTTAGCGGGTACCCGTTACCCGTACGGGATGGATAACGGGTACCCAAACTACCCGTATATACCCGTCCAACTAGAGGAGAAATCTGTGAACCATGGATGTTTAACACAAAATTAAACAAATACAAACCTAATTAATAGTGTGAAGCCATCATCAGTATTTAAACCCAAACTGAACTATTAAAGAAAGTTAAAAGAGAAGCTACTGGCTGCAGCCAAATACTGAGAGGGGGGGGGGGGGATTGTCTATATAAGTATCATCTTTTTGTATACGAGATTATTTGGGATGTATTGGCTAGTACTGTATATGAATGGTTATGTATAGTCTTTTTGTAGACGAGATATAGAAGATGTATTGGTTAGTGATGTCTTATAATTGATTATGTATAGTCTATTTTATAGGAAAGTTTTGCTAATGGGTATTACGGGTAACCCGCGGTACCCAATGTAGTAATCATTGATCCTAAGTCCCATCCCGGAAAAAAATTTACGGATATTTGGGTACTCGAAACCCTCAAAAAAGGGACGGGTATGGGTATACCCAAATACCCGTTTCCTGTTGTCTACCCCTAACAATAAGCCTATCTCAAAAGAGACAAAAATTACTAAGTCTAAGAAGTCCATGCCGCCTCACGAGAAGGGGCATGGACAGGAGATAAGAGACCCTGGGTATGGTTGAAAAATAATAAGTATGAGAAGACTATGCCGCTTCACGAGAGGGGTCATGTGCATGATTGGGCGGTCTCCCGCCGGGAATCACATACTTCAAAGAACGACCCAAAATATTCTAAGTCTGGAGAGGCGTGTGCCGCCTCACAAGGAGAGCCATGTCCGTCAAGAATTTAGAAGCATGTGTCGTCTCAACAAGAGGGACCATGGTCACGGCTGAAGAGGCCACGAGAAGGGCCACAGACATGAGAAAAGAGGCCTAGGCATGACTGAAAAATATTCTAAGTCTGAGAAGGCCATGCCGCCTCACGAGAATGGCCATGTGCATGATTAAGAGGTCCATGGTCGTGCCATGTGATGGCCATGGACGCGAAGAAAGAAGCATTAGACACGATTGAAATATAGTAAGTTTAGGAAGGACATGTCACCTCACGAGAATGGCCATGTGCATGATTAAGAGGTCCATGATCGTGCCATGTGATGACCATGGTTGTGCCATGTGATATAATGCTCACGAGAGGGGCCATGTGCATGAGTGAGAGGTCCATGACGCTTCACGAGAGGGGCCATGGACACGAATGAGAAGGGCATGGTGGTAGAACATTATATCACTAACGAATAAGTCCAAAGAGGGCCATGGACATGAGTAAGAAGTCTTTGACAATGAGGCAAGAGGACTTGCGACCCCTTTGCGAGACACCACATGCTCATCAAAAGACTAGTGTGGCACGAGATCTAGAACAAGACCATGCGAGGCAAGCTACACTCGAAGACCCACGACGGTTTCAAGAGAAGCACCTAGGCGGTTAAAGGAGTAACCACCACTCAGAGGAAGCAGAGAGCGTTCCTTTTTGGGAGTTATCCAAGAGGCTATTTTCTACGACAGTTATCTCTCCATGGTTATAAATAGGTGGATGGGTCGACAGAGAGAGGTGGTTCCAAAACCAACACTTTGACGAACATGTCAAGTTTATCATTTTTATTTTATCTATCATGTAGCCATAGACGTAGTTTTTAGTTTGGAGCTCTCACCGAACCACCATAGGAGTAGAAGTAACTTAATTTAGATTTTCATTCCCAAAAACCATCAATCAAACACCTCGTTCGAACTTTGTTTGAAGAGGTGTGAGTCGTGTCTTAGTAATCGTTGTCCAAAGAAGTCAAATGTGCAATCCATCTTATTCAACGCAAGTTTCTCGTCGGAAACATCACCTTAACTCAGGCATCTGTCTTAGTTTATCTATTATGAAATCTTTTCTAAATCGTTTTAACTGAAGGGAACAAATAGGGTGCTCATATAATATATGCTAGTATCATGCTTACGTAAACCATCAAGAGTATCTTGGTAACTACGACTCATAACACAAGTTACATCTCATTCTAACCCCTCATCATTTCCTTCCAAATCAAGTCTTCTCCTCTGTTGCGATAACTGCAGCGATCAGCTCTCGCACCTCTGTGTCGGTGTTTGCATTGTTGAAACATTCAACTATTGCATTCGATGACTCCGTCACATTCTCTCTACTTCATGTTGACAAAAAATCTTGAGTCGCATGACTCATGATCTAAAACCTCGCTTCGCTAGTGGCGATGCTCCTGAGTGCAAGCAACATCCTCCTCCGCCAGACTCCTAATTTCGATCCCTTATCAAAATCTGACCTCCGATAGATTTGTGGATTGCATTATGTGTAGCGCTTGTGGTTAGTGTTTCTGATTCAGTTCGTGAGGTCTACGATATGGTTTCTCGTCTTTCTGGTCTACTTCACAATAATTACGAAGTAGTCTCACATATTTTCGGTCTGCTTCATTAAGATTCTGGTCTGAATCAAGAGTATTCTGGTCTGCTTCAGTAAACTTGTTGTCAAATTAAAAAATTTTCTGGTAAGCTTTAAGAAACTTGTGGCCAGCTTTGACTTTTCTGGTCCTCTACAGATAACTTGTACTATTCATGAGTTTTCTGGTGTGTTTGTCATTTTTATGAGTTTTCTATTATACTTCAGGAAACTTGTGGTTAGTTTTATGAGCTTTATGGTTTAGTTAGCTTTATCAGTTTTGT